GGACAGTGGGTCGGACACGTCCAGAGGAGGGACAGTGGGTCGGACACGTCCAGAGGAGGGACAGTGGGTCGGACACGTCCAGAGGAGGGACAGTGGGTCGGACACATCCAGAGGAGGGACAGTGGGTCGGACACGTCCAGAGGAGGGACAGTGGGTCGGACACGTCCAGAGGAGGGACAGTGGGTTGGACACGTCCAGAGGAGGGACAGTGGGTACATTGGTAGAAGGATGTTAGAAATGCAGCAGCCAGGGAAAAGACAGAGGAGATGGCCGCAGTTAGAGAGGACATGGAGGTAGTTGGAGACAGAGGACACAGGGGACAGAGATGGAGGAGGAGGACTCTCTGTGGAGACCCTGAAAAGAGAAAAGCCAAAATATGGAAAAAGTAGTTCTGAGCTGTAACGTCTTTAAAAAGTTGTTTGTTTAAATCTTTGTCCTGCTGGTGATCGTTCTTTATAAAGAATTAATCGTTTGGATCGTGACATCAACCGTTTCCAACCTCAGGAAGATCTGAGTTCAGAGCCGTGTCGACCGTTTCAACGTACAAAAATAAATCCGTTGGAGCGAACCAGAAGTTTTCCTGCGATTTCAAACTATTCTTTGTTTCAGTCGGTCCGTGCACCGAGTTGTACGAAGACGTCGGGAACGTTCAGGGAGCAGACCGCTCCTTTGAACGGGCTGAGGTGAAACGATGCCGACACAAAGTAAACTATTAAACTTTATGAAGGGGCTGTTTGAAGCCGGAATCCTCTGGAAACAAACAAAACGGAGAGAAATCTTTCTGTTCACTCACCATCTGGGTTCCTCACCGCAGCAGAACTAATCTGTTTTCTGTTTGTCTTCAGGGAACAACACATGCTGCCTCACCGACAGCTACATTTCCTTTAGATTATCCACCGCTCACATGCAAAACGCTGCTTTCTGCCGCGACGCCCTGTAATAGTGTTGTTAATGTGAAGTTTTTCAGGCTTCTTACAGTCAAAACTCATTTAACCACATTTTATTAAAGTGTCATTTGTGTTGGTTTATTCTAAGCAGCTGTGAACCCTCAGGGCCTTCGATTCCTTTAGAGAAGTCCTAAGTATTCAGCTCATATGCAGTTTTAATTTAGTGTTTATTTTATGTCAAGTAAATATTTTCTATCCAGTTCTTCTCTTATTTTCTTTAAACTACTTTAAAGTTGAGTAGGATTTAAAGAAATTGTTATCCAATCAGATCATTTTAAATTTTTGTCTTCAGGCAGAAACATGTGTGGAGTTTACAAAAAAAAAAAAGTTAAATCACGTCATGTGGACAGTTTATTTTTGGGGAAAACGTTTCGTCTTTCATCTGAAAGACTTCCGAAAACATCAAACTAGTGATTCAATACATGCATAAATATATAAATACCAATACACGCATATATAACTGTACACGCAGACATCGCTGCGTGTACCTACACATACTTCAATACCTGCAGATACAAGTTTACTTTCATGTCACCTACAGATCAAAGCTTAATATGCAAACGCACAGATTAACAAATTAACAGTTGGAATGACATAATTTTGTCTCGTTCGTTTTCATGCACATTAATTTTGTAATCCTTATATTTTCTCTTGACTTGTGCAATATTTTACTTAGGTTACGTGCACGTGCTTTTAAGAGTGCTGCTTGAAATTACATTTTCCTCTCCGTCACTGGTCAGGACTTCACTGTCAGGAGAGAAGGCCCAGCTCAGTCAAGCCCCTCAGGATGAATTATATGTTGATGTAGAGTAGGCGGGACCGGAACGCCTGACCCTTAGCCTTCAGGAAGGCCGTGCAAGGCTTTGTTTGTTTGTTTTATTTATTTTGAACGCATGAAGGTGTTATTAGTCTAAAAGTTTGGTGTAAAAGGCATGGGGAAACATGCATTCCTTTACAGGAAGTTGGGCCTTTATTTGGTTACGGTTTCTGTTTAAACAGTGAAACAAAACGATTTAGGCTTTATTTCTTAATTTTTGTGTTTTTGCTGCCTCCGTTTGTCCAGGATGATGCAGGACCTGGAGAACCCTCAGGTCACCATATGTAACAAGGGAGACCAGCACTACCGCAGCTCGCCCAGTAACCAGTCGTCCTCCAGTGATCCAGGACCGTGTGGCAGCAGCAGCTGGTCCCAGCAGCCTGGATATGATGGGTACTCCACCTAAAACCAGCTTCTTTCCCCAAAAGTTTTTCCCTCCCCAGAATAATTGCGGCCACAATCAGCCCCCTGCACCTTTTCTCAGACCTCGCAGTTTTGCAAAATGACGTCTATTTTTTTGTCGTGAAATGACCAAATCATCGGTGCACTTCTGTTGTTGCACGTTTTGCACAGGAAGTAATCCGACATAATAAAGCTATTCCTGCTACGATTCGCCGGCTCCAGGAATATGAAAGTTGATGAGTTTTATGTCTTCCAACCTTTCAGTTTGTGCTTTAATCATTTTAAAGTTTTGGTTTCAACTTCCCTTTTTTTTTTTTTTTTTTTGTGCTCGGAAGAGCATGTCGCCTGTCTCAAATGTAACTCTCAGAATAAAACATGGGATTTACAACGTCTACGACTTTCTGAGACGATCCAGTTCAAACAGGCCGCCACACCCAAAGAAATGCTACAATTCAGACAATGTTCTCGATATTCAGCTAATATGTGGTGAAATAGAAGCTGAGGTTGATTCTCAACACACACTGAGCGCTACAGACTTGGCGACTGGTTTGCTTAAAACTTGGGCACTGTTAGGACCAACGTTGTTTGTCTGTTAGCAAAATATTTCATAAACCACTGGACAGAGTTTAATGAAATGCTCGGGAAGTAATTACTGGATGTTCGTCTACAACTAAGACGATTGTTGATCCAGTTTAAGATGGCCATCACTGCAAATCAATATCAGCAAACACAAAAATGGATAACTTTCAGATTTATCCATGTTGAGCCCAAGTTTGATGTGGTAGTAGCTGAGAGTCATCCTTTGTTCATACTCGGAGTGCTTAAAGATCTTGTGAAATCTTTCCACCTTGAGTGAAATTTGTGCAAAACGTCATTTACGAGGTACAACTCTGTCCTGGGTAATTATCCACGAGACACTCTGAGTAGAACCGCTGCTCCTCCACATCGAGAGGAGCCAGTTGAGGTGGTTCGGGCATCTGGTAAGGACGCTTCCTGGGTGCCTCATCAGGGAGGTGCTCTTGGCATGTCCAACTGGGAGGAGACCCAAGCGAAGACCCAGGACTTGCTAGAGAGACTGTCTCTCACCTGGTCTGGGAACACCTTGGAGTCCTCCCCGAAGAGCTACAGGTGGCTATGGAAAGAGATGTCTGGACCTCGCTGCTCAAACTTCTGCCGCCAAGACTCAACTTAGGAACAAGCGGTGGATGGATCGATGGGTGGATGGATGGGTGAATGGGTGGATGGATGGGTGGGTGGTTTGGTCATCCAGTCAGTTGTCTGGTCAGTCTTCCAGGCAGACAGTCGGTCCTCCGTCCTGTCGGTCTGATCAGTCGGTCGTCTGGTTGCTCTTCCGATCAGTCTCTTGGTCGTCCCTCCTGTCGGTCAGTCATCTGGTCAGTCGTCTGGTTGGTTGGTGGTCCAGTTAGACGGCTGCAGTCCATTTTCATTCCTTCAAGTTGTGCCGTGCTCAGCTGATTTGACCATAAAGGTTGTTTGCTTTACGTCTGTGATAGATCGATTAGTTTAGTTAGTTTAGTTAAGTACCGGTACATAAAATCTGACTTCATAGACAGAAAATCATTAAGAGCTCTTTTTGTCACCAGGTGTCCATCCCCGATCCTTCATGAGCAGCCGGGGGACATCCAGGGAGGGGACGGAGACATCCGCAGGGAGAGAGAGCCCACTCTGGAAAGAACAAGATCTGCAGGTGAATCTTTTCATTCTTCGTTTAAAATCAACTAAAATGTAATATAGATTATTTTAAACATTTTTATATCACAAAGTTTAGCTTGATCAAGAATAGTGTACTACAGATTTTAATATTTGTAATTTTTTTTATTTCACCTTCTTTACAAAAGAAAACATCCCCATAAAATATACGTGTACAGAAAGATTTCTTCAATACCTCCAAAACATCATTCTCTGAAATCTACTGCCACAAAATGGCTCTATTTTGTTTTTTTGTAGCTACTTTTTAGTTTTCAGCTACAGTTCTGATCATTTTAGCATTTAGCTAAGATTTATGTGCTATTAAATTTTAGCACCTGATTTGCTCATTTGAGTTTTTAGCTACTGTTTTGTTGTGGGTATCTTTTAGCAACCATTTTACTAACTTAACCCACATTTTTTCTAATTTTTTGTTAACTATGGTTTAGCTCATTTTAAATTTTTAGCTACAGTTTGGCTTTTTTTAATTTTTTTTACATTTAGCAACTATTTACCAAATGTTAGCTATTGGACTCTTCTTTGCTATAGGTTTTAGTTATAATTTTGATCATTTTAGCTACAGCTACAGCTTTTCTATGTTTAACGTTTAGCAACTGTTTGACCACCGTACTTTCCGAACTATTGAGCGCACACGAATATAAGCTGCTCCTACTAAATAAAAAAAATGTCATTTTGTACATGTATAGGCCGCGGGTGTCCATGTTGTAACATGAGACGTTTACACAGAAAGATTTTTTTAAACTTTGAATTGAATATGTACCGGTAACGGACTTACAACCTGTCCAGGGTGTACCCCGCCCCTCGCACAGTGATAGCAGGGCATGGGCACCGGCGACGCCCGTGACCCAAAATGGAAGAAGCGGGTAAAAATAATGGATGGATGTACCGGTAACGTACACAAATATGTACAGTAAATGGTTTTATTTTTCTGAACAGTGCCAGTAGCATGGCTGGTTTAAAAAAAATAAAAAATAGAAGCCTACCAGGGTTAGGGTTAGTGCTGTCCTTCTCCACTGTCAGGATCCGCCAGCAGACTTGAGTAAAAGTTGCTCTGCACATGCAGGAGAATCCCCCTCTCACATGCTCCGCACTAGGAATGTGCGATATGACGTAAAATTCATATCACGATATGTATTGTGAAGGGTGGCGTTGACGATATATATCACGATATGTTTTTGGTATAAAACTTGCAATAGGAGTGGAAAAAAAAAAAAAGCATAGTGTCCTTTTGCCATCTAATTTTTTTGAAAACTGCTAAACCACAAAATAATCTCAATTAAGAAAATTCCACCACTAGGTCCAGAGAGTTTTTAAAAAACAAATCAAGTATTAGGATTCTTCTTGTAGTGCAAAACAGTGTAAAAGATATCAAATGTATTTTTAGCCATATGTTTTAAACAAAACTCTTAACAGTTTCCAGTCTTCTCACTTAAGAAATGAACAGCAAGTGAACACTGAAACACTTCACCCTCCAACCCTCAAGTAGGCGTCTCCTTCCGCTTTAAGGAGGTCTGACACAAAATGGCGACCAGTTTCCTCTGTGGCTTTGACCAGAGGGTCTCGCAGTAAAATCACACAACACAGCGTTTTTATCACAGATCAGAGAGCAGGTTTCTCTAAAGCTGACCAATGCTTACTTTAACTTTCGACGGGGAAAAAAAAAAAAAAACTTTCGACGGAACACAGCGTTTTGCGTCCGAATACGACAACACTACGACAAGCCGGCCGTAGTTAGCCTGTAGCTTCGCTACTTAGCTCTCGAAGAAATTACTTTACCACCGCCTACGCACAGTTTTCAACTAAAAAAAAGTAACAATTAAATCTGAAAACTCTGATTTTACATCAGACACAGCGTTACTGTGGTTAGCCGGTAGAAGACAGATCTCTATCGTAGGCTAAATGTCTTTTGTTTGTACCGTGCACCGTATATATCGTGCATTCCTACTCTACACATGCAGGGGAATCCCCCTTCTTGGGGAGAAGGGGGATTCCCGCCCCTCCCCATTTCATTGTTCCACTGTGACCTGTTTGGTAATTTTATTGGTCAGATTTGTTTTAACCTTTATTTAAGTAGTCGTATTGAGTCATGAGGACCCACCCCCCAAGAGAGACATGTATCTTATGTGAGCATCCGGATATAACAAGGCTAAAGGTTTTGGCGGCAAGAAGCTCATTGGCACGTCAAAAAAAAAAATCCATAAACTAGCCTGTGAAAAAAGTAGCAGCTTATAGGCTGGAAATTGTTAATTTTAGCTTTAAGCTACTGTTTTGCTCATTTTCGTTCTGCTGTGCTTGTTTTATTCGTGACTCATTTCCAGTTGTTTGAACAAACATCTGCAGTCATTCGCGTTTTGTTTGTTTTTTACCGAAAATGCCGTTTTCTCCAGTTCCCCCGTCTTTTTGCTCTCTCCTAACGTTCGGCTGGTTCTCCTGTTTCTTTGCAGAGGCGAAGTGGCACATCCCGTCCACCAAGATCCTGAACCCTGTGAAACAGAGAGACGGAGGGAAAGACTCGCCCAACAAGCTGTCCCGGGTAAAGTCTGGTCTCGTGGCTCCAGCTGAGAACGTGACATTAAAGTTTTAAGAAATGATCGTCTTTTTTTAAACGAGGCTCAATAATTAAACGTTTGCTGGGTTACTGGGTTTTATCTGCTCCCAGCTCTGGACCAGTCTCTGGGTGTTCTGTTGGACTTATTTTACTAAAATTAATGATGTGTTAAATTTATGGTGCGAGTGCTCATTAAGCATTTGTACCACTGAGTTCAGTTTTTCTTGTATAAATACGGCTTTTTCATGATGTTCCTGCTGGAACTTTTGGTGTTTGTGCAGTTTTTACTTTTTGAAATGTTTATCTTTGTCGGCCATGTTTATCTCATTAAAACGAACGGAGCTCTCTTCACGTCCTTCAAACCTTTTGTGCAGTTTACAACCTTTTACTGACCATTTCAGCTTCTTTCTGCAAAATTCAGCTTTTGTCTTCTTTTTCAGCTACTTTTTTTTTATGTATTCTGCTAACTTTAGCCTTTTTTGTTGCTAATTTTGGCCTTTCGTGCTTCTTTTTAACATTTTCAACTTTTTATGCTCTTATCTTTTGGCTAATTTTAGCTTTTTTGAGCTTTTACCGCTGCTTCTTTGATAATTTTAGCTTTTTTCTGTTCAGGTTTTTTTTTTTTTTTTTTCTAATTTCAGATTTTTTAATAATCTGTTTAGCCTCTCGCTGCCTATTTCAGCCTATTCGGCTCACTTCTTTTACATTTCTGCTGTTTTTCTGCTGCTTTCCGGCTTTATTTTCCTGCTTTCAGCAAATGTCGGCTGTTCAAATTCAGCTCACGTTTAGATTACATTAAAGGTTAAAGGACGCGTTTTAGTCGACGTGTTCAACATGTGGCTGGAGGGCCAAATACGGCCATGGGACCATGTCCATCTGGCCCTCAGTATCTTTGAAAAGAAAACAACTTTTTAAAAAGTTGCTGAAAACCTGCAATTTATTATTGAAAGTAAAATATGTTTATATTAAGTATCTAGAGGAAATCTATCAAAGACTTTTAGATTAAGATGAGCTAAAGCGTGTTTTTGAAGTCATGTTTCCAGAGCTAAACTGAACCTTAATGACATCAAAAAACAAATGTATAACACTGTTCATTTATTTATTTATTTGCATAAATAATCAAATATGTTATCACAATATTCTTAAAGAGCATTGGGGAGACATATTTTATCCATCCTGCTAACTGGAAATGTCTTATAGATCATCAGTCTTAAAAACTATTTTCCATCTTTTTATGCAGCTCTTTATTATTGTCAATGTTTATGAAGCATTCACTCTATCGTGATCCATTTTTCTTGTCCCACAGTTTTCAAGTTATATCAACAAATCATAATTTAAAACGTTCAGCTCTTTCGTTCTATCGTTTGGTTTTGGTGCAACTTTAGCTTTTTGAAATATTTAGCCTTTTCAGACATATTTTTCTTTTAGAAGATGAATCATTTTACCTCCTTCGAATCTTAAGATCTGTTTACAACCTTTTGCTGCTCCTTTCACATTTTGTTCTGCTTCAGCTTCTTTCAGCTTCCTTGTGCAAATTTAAACTTGTTTTCGGCTACTTTCAGCTGTTTTTTTCAGCTGTTTTGTGATCCTTTTTTCCTATTAATTTCAGCTTATGTTCCTTTCAACTTATTTCTGCAAGTTTCAGATTTTTCTACTATTTCAGCAACTATTTAGCTGTTTTATACTAATTTCATCTTTCTTTCATTTTTGCACTCATTTAAACTAGTTTCAGCCTAATTCATCCAAAATGTGCTCTCTTCACTTCCTTGTAATTTTAGCCACTTTTTAGCTACTTTGCAGCTGTTTTTTGCTGATTTCAGCTTTTTTCTGATAATTTTTATTTTTTGGTGCTAATGTCTGCTTCTTTCAACCTAATTGGACAAATGTGTTCTTTCTACTTTCTTGTGCTAATTTAAGCTTGTTCTACCTTTTCAGCTACTTTTTTAGATTTTTTTGAGCAAATTTCAGCTGTTCTCAGATAAATCAAAATTTTCTTGGTAATTTCTGCCACTTTCAACGTAAGTAACTTCTTTCTGCTAATTTCAGCTATTTTAATTTTTTTCTGCTATTCCGCTAGTATTTAGCTGTTTTATGCTAATTGTAGCTTTTCAGCTCATTTCAGCTCTTTCCTTCTTGTAGATTAATCTTCTTTCTGCCTTTTTGGCTTTTTAGATTTTTGTTTTTCAAAATTTTTTTAGCTAATTTCTTAATCTTTGTGGTCATTTCTGCTTATTTAAACCTAATTCAGGAAATATGCGTTATTTCTGCTTTTTTTGTGCTAATTTAGGCTTTTTTTTTTCCATTTCAGCATGTTTTTTTTTTTTAGCTAATTTCAGCTGTTTTTCATAAAGTTCTTCTGCAATAAGCGTTCACACTACATTTTTGCAGGAAATACAATTTCTCTGGTCCTCTGGGGAAAATAAAAAATTCCCATCCCTGGTTTACGCGAAGGTTACGGCATGTGGACAAACGTTAAACCGTTCTCTTGGCAGGCTGAACGTCTCTAATGCCAAGAGCTGGATTTTTATTTTGTAGCTGTTTTTTATGTGATTTGTTTTAAGTTGATTTAGTAACGTTGAGCACAGCACAAAGAAATAAGCGTGTCGGGTCAATCCTGTGTCATTTATCGCTTGTTTTCTCCTCAAACCCGCCTTTTTAAACTGATTCATCAGATAAATCCAGGATACAGGAAGTTCTGCTTCATTTTTCTGTCCTGCGATCAGCTTGCCCTGCGTCAGAAACATAAACGCGATGCAGTCCTCGTCTGGTGCAACAATCATGTTTAAACGACTGTAAGGAATATTTGCAGCTGCCGTTGGACCTCGCCTGACGTTCTTCTTCCTTCTTGTCCTCCTGAACCAGATGGGCGATAAAAACTCGAGCCACTCGAGTAGCAACACCCTCTCGAGCAACGCCTCCAGCAACAGCGACGATAAGCACTTTGGCTCCGGGGACCTGATGGACCCGGAGATGCTGGGCCTCACCTACATCAAGGGGGCATCCACAGACAGCGGCATAGACACGAATCCCTGCGTGCCCCCCGGGGCGCGGGTGTTGCTGCAGGGCAGGGCGGGGGAGCAGGGACACCCCTGGGTTTCGGAGCACCACGAGGACGGAATGACGGAGGACGATCACAGGAAGCTGTACCTGCAGCAAGGCTTCCCCTCGGCCATCTTGTCGAGTCACGTGACTGAAGGCAGCATCGGAGACCTGAGCGAGATCTCTTCTCACTCGAGGTACAGCACACATTAAACACATTGGCTTACTTATTTTTATTTATTTTTTTATGTTTGTAATGTTACAGTAAAATACCGTAATTTCCGGTCTATAAGCCGCTACTTTTTTCACAATGCTGCAGCTAATTTATGGATTTTTATTTTTATTTTTTGGGGGGGACGTGCTAACGAGCTTCCTGCCACCAAAAACGTTTAGTTTTGTCACACCCGGGCGCTCACACAGCTGCCCAATGCACGTCTCTCTTGGGGCGTGGGTCCTCGTGACTCAATGAGACGTCCTCATTGGTCCATTGTGGTTGACTGCTGGTCACATGGCCTCAGAGAGGAATTATGGGTAAAATTTAATTGTTAATCATTTCAGTTAGCTGTTTACCGTTGTTCTTTTAGTGATTAGTCTGTTCTTGTTAGCCTAGTTTACATGTTCGTTATGTGTTGGTTTGTGTTGGGACATTTGGTTGGGAGGTGGTGATCATGAAGACCTGGGGGTTCACTCCGTCTGTCTGTGTGTAAAAAAATAAAATAAATCAGCGAAGCGCCATCCGGTGGTTGAATCTTGATCTACAACAAGAGCTGCACATCTCTCTCAGTAGCTGCGCTGCCATTCATGTTACCACGTGAACACCAGAGGCTTATGTACAAAAATGTATTTATTTATTTTTATTTAGTGTGCACTGCAGCGAGCAAGAGTTTGCAAAATAACAAAACAACATTTGCATAGATTATTTTCTATTTGCAACACCTGAATCTAATGAGAGGTTTATTGTTTTGTGTTTGTTGGATTAAATACACAAAAAAACAAACACAATATGCACATGTAATGTAAAGAAAGCGCTCAGCTAGTAGGTAAATAAATGCCCCAGATTTTGCTCACGATTTTTTATTTTTTAAATTTAAGGACGCATTAACCGATATCAATCTTTATTGATCCATATTTTGTTTTTTTTAATCTAAATATTTTCTTTCGTCCAGTCTTTGACTTTACAGTGAGCGCCTTTAATGGCAGCCAACTTTAGAGTTTCTACTTTTTAGTTGGAGTAGAGTTTAAAAAAACACTTTTGATCGAGATGCAGCTGTTTTAACAAATAAAGGAGAAAATTATTCTGGGAGACCAGACCTCCAGGCCCAAGGAGGTACAGGTTTTATCTTCACATTCACCTGATCTCGGCTGAAATCAAAGTAATATTTGAGTTTTATGAGACTTTAGCTGCTTGTGGTTTATTTCCCAAATCTTCTTTGGGAAAATAAAAACAAGGAATGATGTTAATCCCTCCAGAATAGTTTGGGGACTGAACGAAATCAGGTCCACAGGTAATCTGCGCACTTTACCGAGGGACTTTCACTGGATTAAATGTTGTTTTTAAATGTTTTGGTGCTCTTTTATTCCCCTCATCTCTTTGGCTAAATGCTTTGTTCTGCTGTGGCTCCACTTGTTGGGTCACTGAACTCGTTTGCCTGCCAGTGGAAACTCACACCCTTTTGTCACGGTGCACGGCTCACGGCAAAATCCACTGCGCTGGAACACGAGTACACAAACACACGACCACTGCCAAATGATACCGTCTATTATCCATTCTGTCACACACACACACACATGCACGCACACATGCACGCAGCGGATGGAAGCCTGATTCCTGACCTTTTCACCTGCTCGGACTCACAGTTCGCTGACCCATCACCCGGTTCATCCAGCTGTGCAAAATGAAGGGAGGTTCTCCAAAGTCCCCTGTGGTCCGTCCATCGTCTTTAACTGCTTTTCCGTCCATCTTTTATCCCTTTTCCATCCATCCATCCATCCATCCATCATCTTTAACCGCTTTTCCATCCATCCATTTTCTTTTAACCCCTTTTCATCCATCCATCATCTTTTAGCCGCTTTTTATCCATCCATCGTCTTTTAACCACTTTTCATCTATCCATCGTCTTTTATCCTCTTTTTATCCATCCATCGTCTTTTAACCACTTTTCATCTATCCATCGTCTTTTCCACCCATCCATCCATCCATCATCTTTAACTGCTTTTCCATCCATCCATTTTCTTTTAACCCCTTTTCCATCCATCCATCCATCCATCGTCTTTTACCCACTTTCACATCCATCCATCATATTTTATCTCTTTTAGTCAGAGTCAGAGTCAGAGTTTCTTTATTGTCATTCGCACCTCATGTGGTACATGTGGTGGAGCGAAATTATGTACACAGGGTCCCAGTTACATCCAACAATAAAATGTATAAGAAAAACAGTAATAACATCTAAGATATGAACTAAGAAAAACATCAACTAAATATACACTAAGCACTCATAACATAAAACATTGAACATCAGCACAAACATGAACATGAGTCTGTGAGCAGATGTGCACGCATGAACACATCAACATTGAAACAGATCAGCAGCAACATGAAACAGATCAGCAGCAACATGATATGGTTTTTCACAGTGATTATTCTAGTTAGAGATTCATGAGTCTAACAGCCTCAGGGTAGAAGCTGTTCCTCAGTCTAGTGGTTCTACACTTAATGCTCCTTAACCTCCTTCCTGAGGGGAGGGGGGCAAAAAGTGTGTGTGCTGGGTGGGTGGGGTCCTTCATGATGCAGGTGGCCCTCTTCCTGCATCTGGAGGTGTAGATGTCTGTGATGGTGGGGAGACTGATTCCAACAGATTTCTGTGCAGCCTTCACCACTCTCTGCAAAGCTTTTCTTTCTGCAGCTGTGCAGCCTCCATGCCACACATTGATGCTGGAGCACAGGATGCTCTCCACTGCACACCTGTAGAAGGAGGTGAGGACTGAGCTTCCCAGACCAGCTCGCCTCAGCCGTCTGAGGAAGTAGAGTCTCTGATGAGCTTTCTTGATCAGGCTGGTGGTGTTGTTGCTCCAGCTGAGGTTGTCATTCATGTGTACACCCAAGTACTTGTAGCTGGAGACCACTTCCACCGCAGATCCTCTTATGTTCAGGGGGGTGTAGGTGTTTTTGTTCCTTCTGAAGTCCACAATCATCTCCTTTGTCTTCTTCACATTGATGTGAAGGTTATTCTCTCTGCACCAGCTCTCCAGGTGTTCCACCTCTTGCCTGTAGCTGGACTCATCATTGTTTGTGATGCATCCCACCACCGCTGTATCATCTGCAAACTTTACAATGTGACAGCCTGGATGGGTAGCTGCACAATCATATGTGAGCAGAGTAAACAGGAGGGGGCTCAACACACATCCCTGAGGAGAGCCAGTGCTGAGGGTTATGGTGGAGGAGGAGAGGTTGTGGATCCTCACTAACTGTGGTCTGTTTGTTAAAAAGTCTAGTACCCAGTTGCAGATGGAGGGGCTTAGTCCTAGTGTGGATAGTTTGTCCATCAGGGTTTGGGGGATCATGGTGTTGAAGGCGGATGTGAAGTCCACAAAGAGCATACGGACGTAAGAGTTTTTCTGCTCCAGGTGGTTGAGTGCAGTGTGGACCACAGAGGAGATTGCATCCTCTGTTGATCGGTTCTCACGGTATGCGTACTGATGAGGGTCCTCGTTGATGTTGATGGTTGTTTTGATGTGAGTCATGACCAGTTTTTCGAAGCATTTAGCGACTATCGGGGTGAGGGCCACTGGCCGATAGTCATTCAGACCAGTCACTGTAGAGCTTTTTGGGACTGGGATGATGGTGGCAGTCTTCAGGCAGGTGGGAACTGTCTCCAGGGTAAGTGAGGTGTTAAAGATGTCTGCCAGCACCTCACAGAGCTGATCAGCACATTCCTTCAACACTTTTCCGGGGATGTTGTCTGGGCCAGTTGCTTTGTGCGGATTAATCCTCCTGAAGGTACTCCTTACTTCTGCTGAGGTCACGCTGAGATGCTCTTGAGATGCTCTTTTACATCCATCTATTATCTTTTACCCACTTCTTCCTTTTCGGATCACAGGGATCACTGTTGTCCACATCCAGAAGTCACTGTATGAGAGGCAGGGGACACCCTGGACAGGTCTCCAGTCCATCAGAGGGACACATGGAGACAAACGAGACAACCAACCATTCACTTTCTCTCTCACCTAGGGACATTTTAGAGTTACCTGTCAGTCTAACATGCAAGTTTTTGGTGTGTGGGAGGAAACCGGAGTACCTGGAGAAAGCCCACGCGTGCACGGAGAGAACATGCAAACTCCACCCAGAAAGGCCCCCAGGCTGCGATTTGATCCAGAGACCTTCTGAGAGGCAGCAGCTCTACCAACCACCGTGCCGCCCTCCCCTGTGGCCCGTCTGTGTAAAGTGACTTTGTTCGGTCTGAGAACCTGTTAGTTTGTGTCGTATGGGGTTATGTTGCTGCTGTCTGTTCGAATCATTGGTCTGTCTGAGAGGTTTCAGCGCTGCCCACCTCAGGTCCCTCACTCTGATTACCACCATGCTTCCTTCCCACCTTTAATGTCCAGGTCTTTTTTTTTTTTTTTTACACTGAGAGTAACCTGAAGAAAGCTAAATCAGCAGGAGCACATTTTGCAGGTTGTGACCTAAAATGTCATGAATATAAGCGTCACATGCAATTCGCAGCACAATGGCTTAGTGGTTAGCACTGCTGCCTCGCACCAGGAAGGTCCTGGGTTCAATCCCCGTGTTGGACCGGGGGTCTTTCTGTGTGGAGTCTGCATGTTCTCGTGTTTGAGTGGATTTTCCTCCCACAGTCTAAAAACATGCATGTTAGCTGCCTTCAGGTCCGGGCCTCTCTTACAAAAGAGATGTGACCTCAGAGGGATTCACTCGGTTAAATAAAGTTTAATAAATAAATAAAATGTGAGTTTTTAGGAGTTTCCAGCTGACTCTGATGTTTAAAAGAAAGTTGAATTTAGATAAAAGTTTTGCAGCACAGTTTTTAACCCTTGATGATTTTATACGTCCAGTAAATCATTTCCTGTACTCTTGAATTTGACAGTTCTCCAGGTTTTCTCAGGTATTTCAAGGTTTTTCTTTTGAATTTTGCAATTTTTTTTACTAATTTTTCTCAAAACTATGACGGCGTATTGTGCACCGTATTAAAAAAAGAAATGTTGAGGAACAAAAGAAGTGTCAAGTCTAGAAAAGTTTCTGCATCTGTTAAAGTTGTGTCTTCAGGGGAAAAATCAGCAAAGACCAGAAATCATCCTTCAACTGATCATCTGAAGGATCAGAATCTGGATTGTTGCAAAATTTACACAACAAAGTTTATCTTGGTGATTCTGCAGGTTCACAAGAAAATAAACTAAATAACCACAAAAATCAGTCTTACACACATTTACCACCTGTTCATATACAATCAAAAGAAAATGGAAAATATATAAACAAATTAAAATGTACAAAAGCATAAAATATTTGAAGAAGAGATCATAATCCCAGTGAGTTTTTGTGACGTGATTTTAGTTAATAAAGCTTTGGGAATCAACATGTTGGTGCTAAAATACTGTTTTAGAGTATTTTTCTCAAATGAAGACAAAGAATTAAATAGTGTCTTTGTTCCAGACAAAGTGTGTTAAAACTTTTTGTTTGTTTTGACACAACAATGGCTTCATTCTTTGAGGTTAGGAACATATTTTATATGTCTGAATGATTCATAGGTTCAAGTTAAATGTCTTAATAAACCTAAATATTAAGCATTTATTCTATTTTTTTATGCATTGCACTAAAAATGAGTGAAACAGCAACCAAGATCCAAGAAGAGCTTTCTGGAACATTAAGGACATTTTAAAGATTACAAGAAAGTCTGGCTTCTTGAAAGCAACATATCCTTATTCCTCGTCCCCATGCTGCCTAACATGAATCATGGGCGCGACCTTCGACACGGATCAGAACCGGTGTTTATGTGCGAAGAGTACGAGATAATGCAGTTTCTCCGAGCATTGTGGAGTTAATGTAAACGTGTAGGAACACCACCTGTCAGGGCTCAAACAGGACAATATAATCATTCCGCTGAGAACGAGGGATGGAGGATGAGCGGAAGAAGTGGCTGCTGTGCAGATTACAGCTACTAGCATATTTAGCTGCATCCACTAGCGTATTTAGCTGCATCTACTAGCGTATTTAGCTGCATCTACTAGCGTATTTAGCTACATCTACTAG